TATATATATATATATATATATATATATATATATATATCAATGTTGAAAATAGAGCCATTATAAAATTAGTGGCTTTCATTAGTAGTGGATATGATCACCACTCAGTAAATGGGTATATGGGTATTTAATGATTTAATTACTACTCGAGAAATCAGTAACTCTTTTGTATAAAAAAATTACCTCAAAATAACACAAAGTAAATCGCCTATATAATAAACAGCATACGTGCATAATACTGATGATCATTAACCTATCATTAAACACCGAATTTTTCATACATCAATATTGTGAAGAGTGCCATTATGAAATGAGTGATAGTTCATAAGAGGGTATGATCACCACTCGTTAAGTGGGTATTTTCAGATTTTAGTTACTACTCAAAAATCAGTAACTCCTTTGAATACAAAAAACGCTTAAATAATTAATACGTAAACTCAAAGTAACTCCCTTATCTAATATACAGCATGCTATGTATAATATACATGATCTTTAATCCATAAACGGATAAGTTTTTAATATATCCAATGTTGTGAAGAGTGTCATTATAAAATAAGTGGTAGTTCATAAGTGGGCATGATAACAACTTATTAAATAGGTATTTTCAGATACTAATTACTTCTCAAGTTTTAAATAAATCATAGTTTAATAATTATGGATTAAAACTAGATGCTTAATATTACTAGTCTATAGTGGTGTACATTGCGCAGAAAATAAACGAATCACCCAGAATAACTCTTGATCCCAATTATTGGATTTTTACGTACTAAGACTCAAACTTAATAGTTCACGAGGCTGACTTCAAATATGCTTAATAATTTTTAGGATATTTTAAGTTACGGAATCAGACACAAAAACGTACTTTCTCTGCATAAACGTATCTTCCTTTGCGTCTGATTTGGATTCCTGACCTTTAAAATTCTGGAGGCAGCCGCAATCTAGGAAATATGGTCCCAACAGTTTGAAACTCTTAATGTTAATTTTACTTGAGTATTTTGCTATATTTCGAGCAATTGTTTTAGCTAGTTGAAACATTTGTGTGCACAATTATGATATTCGCTTAACCAAAGAAAGTTTGACTCATAAATAATTTATTTTCTTTAATAATAGTCGAAGAAATTTTGAATTAAGGTATACAATCTTATAACACCATGGTAAAGCATTTAATTATAAATGGTAAAATACAAAATGTGAGCTCAATGGTTAAAATAGTTCCTGAAAAATCAACTTTTAAATGCAAGATCTCTTTTAAAATTCGATTTCTTAAGAACTATTCGACTGGCCACGCTCAAACTTTGTATTTTGCCCTTTGAAATTATATTTAACTTCTTGTCTTCATTTTGGATGATGTAAATTCTGCATGGTTAAAAGGGACACTATTTTTAAAACCTTCGAGCACGATCTTTCAAAGTGTGTTAACAGTTTTGCTATGTAAAGTCTTAAGAAACATTTGCTACTAAAAGAAACATTGCTTATATAGTGTTAGTATAGAAGTGTTTCCATATTTTTGTTACTCCCCTATATATAAACATATTATACTTCAAAATAGTCATGCTCCAAAGATTTCTTAAAGGTTTTAAGGTGTCTATTTGTTTTTATAATTGTGGTTTCAGTTCACTACCACTAATAAATAAGTTTTGTACGACGCTAAAACTTTAGGGAGTATGCACAATGTTTACATGCCAACTGGTACGGACACTGACAAAGATTTTACATAGTGGTAGTAAAAGAACAATTAAATTTAAAAAATATTTTATTAATAAATAAATACTTAAACATCTCAGTTAATGAGTTACCAAATAAATCATATAAACATATTTTTTGATTTGTCGTGATAGACAGAAATTTTTTTTGAAACTTTAAACTTGAGATTTAATACGAAAAACGCTATAATGTTGCTACCACTAAGAAACTTTTTTCTCTACAGCCGTACAAGTTGGCATCTAAGACAATGGATAAGCATGTTTTGTTCCCCAAAGAGAGTCTTATAATGAATTATAATGAACAAAGTTCCTCGTCGGAACGACGGAATGTGAATGACAACAACGCTTTGATGTGGCTTATGAAAATAGGCGTGTGTCATTCCGTGTTGAATGAACGCTTAGAGGTGGCTCATGAAAATAGGTATGTGTCATCCCCTGTTGTTATAGTCATGTCATCACGTGTCAATCACGTGACGAAAAGCTTCGTGTGGAAGCACTCAAAAAAAGCCGTTCATTTAAATATAAAACAAATTTTTATTTTATTTCATGTTGTTACCTGTTTGAAACTGCCTAGTTGCTCCATGCAGACCTGCTATACATGGCAAACCATATTCTCTACTGACGACAGCACCTAGAAAGAAATTACGTCAAAACTACTGTTACTTTTTACAACTTTTGAAAAAAAAATTTCACTTCAAACTTATAAAAATGTATGCTTTAAGATTTCATTCTTTATTTCATATATGTGGCTTAAAAATTTTAAAGCAGCTTGGAATTTAAATAATAAGATAAAGTTTTATAAGAAATGTTTATAAATTCATATTTGGTAAATGGATGCATTTTAAAGAAAATTCGGTTGAATTGCTTTTATTTTGATAGATGTGTGTCAAAAAGTTTTCAAATAAAAAGAAAAATTTTACCGTGAGAGATAAGGCCTCCTAGTTCTGTGACTACTCCACCAAGAATGGGAAAATATGGCGACCATCCAATGTCTGTACTGTAGGTTAACAGGATTTCTCCTGGCTGCAATGCAGAAAATAATTTCATGCGTAATATTTTTCTTTTTTTAATGTAATTTATAAACTTTATTTGCTAATTTCCAAAGCAAAAGTATAATAATACACAAGATAATCGGGAAAATGCACATTCTTACCTTCAGTTGAGCAGCTTCTTCTAAAGTAAGAGCTACTCTAACATATGCTTTAACCGTCCCTTGACTTACTGGTATTCCTAGGGAAAAAGATTAAATTTAAACAATTTTCAAATAAATTCAAAAATTCATACAGAAAAAAAACAACTTCGGAACTTCAAAATGCATTGATTTGTTTGTTACTTTTCATTTTTAATTTACAGAAACTTTCTCCTAAACTAAACAAATAAATTAAAAATACGAAAAAATAAAAAAAATATATGCATATAATATAGAAAAGAAATATAATCGAATGGGAAAATATTGTTAACTGAATGAGTATATATTTGTGGATATAATATGGAAATAAGTATGTTTTAAAATAATTTAATGACTTGAGTTTTGTGCCCAAATAAATATTTTGTTAACTTTTTAATATTGTAAAAAAGTAGTAAACTTTTCGAGCACGTCTCTTTATTACAATAACTTTATAAAAATATAGAAAGATAGAACTAAAAATAAAATAAGAGAATAGTATGTGGCTAATAGACTTGCAATAAGGATATTTATCAGGTGTTGATTAAAAATAAAGGTAAAAAGCGCGTCATCTAAATTTATTCTTACATCAAATGCATTAACCCAACTAAAAATATTTGGCATAACTAAGTTTTGTCCATTTTCTATTTTGTGCTATAAAATTTTAATTTTTTAATAATGTTCTCTTACATTTTATAAATCAATAAAATTCAAGTCTGAGCAGTCGTCTCCCAAAGAAGTAACTCAGGTCCCAATCCTAGCAATGCCAATTCTATTCATATACGCTANAATCATGATTACAGCTGTAATCAAAATTTTTTGAAAATTGTAATCATGATTACAAGTAATTGATTACTGTAATCGACTATGTAATCATGATTACAGCTGTAATCAAACTTTGTAATCACGATTACAAGTAATTGATTACTGTAATCAATATTGTAATCATGATTACAGCTGAAATCAAAATTTTTGAAAATTGTAATCATGATTACAAGTAATTGATTACTGTAATCAAAGAATGTAATCGATTACATTTTTGGCCAACTCTGATAAACAGCATACATGTATAATACTGATGATCATTAACCTATCATTAACCGTCAAATTTTTCATACATCAATATTGTGAGGAGTGTCATTATGAAATGAGTGATAGTTCATTAGCGGGTATGATCACCACTTGTTAAGTGGGTATTTTCAGATTTTAGTTACTACTCAAAAAATCAGTAACTCCTTTGAATACAAAAAACGCTTAAATAATTAATACGTTACCTCAAAGTAACTCCCTTATCTATGATCTTTAATCCATAAACGGAGAAGTTCCTTATATATCAGTGTTGTGAAGAGTGTTATTATAAAATAAGGTGGTAGTTCATATGTGGGTATGATAACAACTTATTAAATAGGTATTTTCAGATACTAATTACTTCTCAAGTTTTAAATAAATCATAGTTTAATAATTATGGATTAAAACAAGATGCTTAATATTATTAGTCTATAGAGGTGTACATTGCGCAGAAAATAAACGAATCACCCAGAATAACTCTTGATCTAAATTATTGGATTTTTACGTACTAGGACTCAAACTTAATGGTTCACGAGGTTGACTTCAAATATGCTTAATAATTTTTAGGATAATTTAAATTACGGAATCAGACACAAAAACGTACTTTCTCTGAATAAACGTATCTTCCTTTGCGTCTGATTTTGATTCCTGATCTTTAAAATTCAGGAGGCAGTCGCAATCTAGGAAATATGGTCCCAACAGTTTGAAACTCTTAATGTTAATTTCACTTGAGTATTTTGCTATATTTTGAGCAATTTTTTTAGCTAGCTGAAACATTTGTGTGCACAATTATGATATTCGCCTATCCAAAGATAATTTGATGCAAAAAATAATTTTTAATAAATTTTCATTATTTTATTTAGTAATAGTCGGAGAAATTTTGAATTAAGGTGTACATTATTATAATATCATGGTAAAGCATTTAATTTTAAATGGTAAAATACAAAATGTGAGCTAAATGGTTAAAATAGTTCCTGAAAAATCAAATTTCAAATACAAGACCTTTTTTAAAAATTCGATTTTTCATGAACTATCCGACTTTGTATTTTGTACGCTCAAACTTTGTATTTTGCCCTTTAAAATTATATTTAACTTCTTGTCTTCATTTTGGATGATGTAAATTTTGCATGGTTAAAAAGGACACTATTTTTAAAACCTTCCAGCATGATCTTTCAAAATGTGTCAACAGTTTTGCCATGTAAAATCTTAAGAAACATTTGCTCCTAAAAGAATCATTGTTTATATAGTGTTAGTATAGAAGTGTTTCCATATTTTTGTTATCCCCCTATTTATTAACATATTATACTCCAAAATGGATATGCTCCTAGGATTTCATAAAGGTTTTAAGATATCTATTTGTTTTTATAATTGTGGTCTTAGTTCACTACCACTAATAAATAAATTTTGTACGACGCTGAAACTTTAGGGGGTATGTACAATGTATACATGCCAACTGGTACGGATACTGACAAAGATTTTACAAATTGGTAGTAAAACTAAAATTAAAGTTAAAAAAATATTTCATTAATAATTAAACTTCTTAAACATCTCAGAGTTAAATGAAGTTTCTTTTTTTTCTTTATTTAAACAAAACTGGGTGGCTAGGCCACGCAGCGGCCCCTACCCCATTCATCATGAAAATTATATACAGTGAATAAAACATTTTGAATTATGTAACAATGTGGTAACATTATAATAAAGCAACCATGATTAGAAGTATATACAAACTTCATCGGAGATTTACATTAATTGCCATTGAAAAATGAATACAACCATGATTAGCTGAAGTTAAATGAAGTTACCAAATAGATCATATACAAATATTTTTTAATTACTGATTTGTCGTGGTAGGTTGAAATTCTTTTTTTTCTAACTTTAAACTAGAGATTTAATACGTAAAACGCTATAATGTTGCTACCACTAAGAAACTTTTTTCTCAACAGCCATACAAGTTGGCAACTAAGACAATGGATAAGCATGTTTTGTTTCCCAAAGAGAGTCTTATAAATGAATTATAATGAACAACGTTCCTCGTCCGAACGACGGAATGTGAATGACAACAACGCTATGATGTGGCTCATGAAAATAGGCGTGTGTCATCCCGTGTTGAATGAACGCTTTGAGGTAGCTCATGAAAATAGGCGTGTGTCATCCCGTGTTGTTGTAGTCATGTCATCATATGTCAATCACGTGACGAGAAGCTTCGTGTCGTAGCACTCGAAACATGACGATTTTTCGTTCATTTAAATATAAAACAAATTTTCATTTAATTTCATGTTGTTACCTGTTTGAAACTGTCTAGTTGCTCCATGTAGACCCGCTATACACGGCAAACCATATTCTCTGCTGACGACAGCACCTAGAAAGAAATTACATCAAAATAACTGATACTTTTTGCAACTTTTGCAAAAATATTTTTTCCCTTCAAACTAATAAAAATATATGCTTTAAGATTTTATTCTTTATTTCATATGTGTGGCTTAAAATTTTTAAAGCAGCTTGGAATTTAAATAATGAGAGAAAGTTTTATAAAAAATGTTTATAAATTCATGTGAGGAGGCATATTTGGTAAATGGATGCATTTTAAAGAAAATTTTGTTGAATTACTTTTACTTTGATAGATGTGTGTCAAAAAGTTTTCAAATAAAAAGAAAAATTTTACCGTGAGAGATAAGGCCTCCTAGTTCTGTGACTACTCCAGCAAGAATAGGAAAATATGGCGACCATCCAATGTCTGTACTATAGGTTAACAGGATTTCTCCCGGCTGTAATGCAGAAAATAATTTCATGCGAAATATTTTTCTTTTTTTTTTAATGTAATTTATCAATTTTATTTGCAAATTTCTAAAACAAAAGTATAATAAATACACAAAATAATCGGGAGAATGCACATTCTTACCTTTAGTTGAGCAGCTTCTTCTAAAGTAAGAGCTACTCTAACATATGCTTTAACCGTCCCTTGACTTACTGGTATTCCTAGGGAAAAAGATTAAATTTAAACAATTTTCAAATAAATTCAAAAATTCATACAGAAAAAAAACAACTTCGGAACTTCAAAATGCATTGATTTGTTTGTTACTTTTCATTTTTAATTTACAGAAACTTTCTCCTAAACTAAACAAATAAATTAAAAATACGAAAAAATAAAAAAAATATATGCATATAATATAGAAAAGAAATATAATCGAATGGGAAAATATTGTTAACTGAATGAGTATATATTTGTGGATATAATATGGAAATAAGTATGTTTTAAAATAATTTAATGACTTGAGTTTTGTGCCCAAATAAATATTTTGTTAACTTTTTAATATTGTAAAAAAGTAGTAAACTTTTCGAGCACGTCTCTTTATTACAATAACTTTATAAAAATATAGAAAGATAGAACTAAAAATAAAATAAGAGAATAGTATGTGGCTAATAGACTTGCAATAAGGATATTTATCAGGTGTTGATTAAAAATAAAGGTAAAAAGCGCGTCATCTAAATTTATTCTTACATCAAATGCATTAACCCAACTAAAAATATTTGGCATAACTAAGTTTTGTCCATTTTCTATTTTGTGCTATAAAATTTTAATTTTTTAATAATGTTCTCTTACATTTTATAAATCAATAAAATTCAAGTCTGAGCAGTCGTCTCCCAAAGAAGTAACTCAGGTCCCAATCCTAGCAATGCCAATTCTATTCATATACGCTATGAAATAAAAAAATTCCCAGAAGTAAATGGATTAAAAGTTTGGTAAAAAAAGACTTCGATTAAAAAACAATGATTAAAAATTTGGAATAAAAAGTGACATTCCTGCTTGCTTATTTTAGAACGTTTGATCAGTCAAGTCAACCCAAACGTTTTTTAAAATTTATTCTTTGGCTGACTTTACCTTTTAGGCCAGCCAGTTGAACGAGCCGTTACCGTGCCTGATTGCTAAGCCAAAGGTTGCGGATTCAAATCCCGCTCAGGGTAGGTGTGTTTCTTTCTGTGTTGTTTACTATTGTGTAATGTGTGAATGTGGCCGACCCTATGAATGGGTATCTGTGGAAGAGTGTGGCGTAGGTAATGCTGCTCACCTCCGTGACTTAGGTTCACAGGTGCCCATCGGGTAACTTTAAATGAGCATTATTCCCGGCATCTTTCTAGGTGAAAAACGAAAGTTCAGTGCCTGCCGTTGAAAAAAAAATTGTTCTCATTCACGTTCAGTCGTTCAGTTAAGAAATGTTGTGTTCAAGAAATTATTTCATTATAAGACTCTCTTGGAGAAACAAAACATGCTTATCCATTGTCTTAGCTGCCAGCTTGCACGGCTGCTGAGAAAAAAATTTATTAGTGGTAGTAACGTTAAAGAGCAGCACTACCGTCATCTTCCGAAGCAAGTTCAGCGCCTGCAAAAATAAAATTAAAGAACGTAAAAAAAAAATATAAAAAACTTTACCTTTCATAGAAAAGTTATCTTCACTTGAAATAGGAGTATTGTCTTCTAAGTTGATCTGAAACCAAATTGAAATATTATTAGAAATTTAAATTAGCATTTAAACTTGATTTTTTTAAAAAGAAAGAGGAGTTATGTTTTTATTATCCTGCATATAAATTGAGCTAAATGATGTTTTCATAACGGTCACACTCAGAGAAGTTGATCAGTTTTCATCTACATGCACAATGGTGTTCGATGTTATATTTTTGCTCTGTTTTTTGATTTTTTTGTTGAGTTGCTTGATTTCATTTGAATGTACAGGATCTTTGGTAAAGTTTTCTGTAGTAGTTTCTGTGACGGATAATGCATTTTATTTCTGGAGGAAGTTTGTATCGGTGGACTACTCATTTAATTTCTATTGTTGCACTTTTGTATGCTTCTGTAATTTCTAGTTGAAGTTGCTGGATGTAGGTTTCTATGATTAACTCGTCTTCGAGGGCTGGTAGATTACAAATATTTATGGTCAGGTTATTTTGATACAAGTTCCAGTCTGTTTTTTGTTTGGGTTTTTCAAAGTGCTGAGTGGGTAGTCCAATAGATAGTTGAACGGGCAGATGATCAGAGGACAGTTGATTGTGGGTGCAGGCGACTATGGGGACTTGGATAATTGATATTGCTATATCTAAGATGTCACAGCTATGGTTTTGCCTGTTCGGTATATAGGTGGGAGTGGTTGGAGCAATGACTGTGAGCCACAGTGATAGCTAAAAATTAATGAACGCTTTGAAGCAGATAATTTGAAACTTCTAATGGTCTGTATTATTTGTGGATTAAATGTTAACAACTGGCAGCTCTTAGCAAGTAACTTACACTGTTCCGCAGAGATTTAACACACTCGTGTGTGTGTTTGTCTATATATATACTCCAGNCTATGTAAAAAAAATACATATATTTGCTTTAAAAATGAGTAAACTTCACAGACAAGTTTTCGTAACTAAAGTTTACGTCTTAAAACACTAAAAGCTATCAAATAATGTCATCTTGGAAATTGTATTATATCAAAAATAAATAACTAAAAATTAGGAAATTATTATTGAAAAAAATGGATTACGCCGCCCATGCTTACCCCGTTATGTTTTTAAAGAGTTGTGCGTATCGTTAAAATATCGTATGTTTGATATAGTTAAATATTTTGTTACAAATCATATTTCTGATTAAAAAATTACTAGATTTTTTGCAGAAACAAGTTCGTAATTTGAATAAAAAATTAAGCGAATCATTAATATATTTTTAAAATTCTAACTCAATTTTTTTACAAATTAATTGTTTTAGTCATCTTTCGTATAATAAGTTCGAATTAACCAAGACATAAATTTCATGGAAATAATTCTTGTTTCGCTAAACATGTTTATGGGAAAAATTGAAAAGTCTTAGAATGGAACAATATTTTTTTATTCTCACCATTGTTATATGAACATTGTTAAGATAGTAAACAAAATACCTTGTAAACACAAAGTTTAAATGGATAACGGAAACGCTTACATTTCAGCAGTTAGTTTAGCAGTTACTGACAAAACTTTTTGGAAAACTTCAGTTAATACAACTTATCATGATATTACTATAACTTTTAAAAATTTGTAATAATAAAATGAAACTCATTTCTGTAATGTTCAGTTATTATTTATGATTCGAGAGCTGAAAACTTGTTTTTTCACTAAAGCCATCTTTTAAAAATTTGAAGAAAAGAAGTCAAACTAAATGAGAAAAAAATTAAATAAACAAAAACAGAAAAACTATAGAAGTAAACAAGCTTTCGATCGCCAGATGCTAGAAGTATGATGGCGAATAAGAAAAATAACCTGTACTTTGCCAGACATTTTAAATTGCTGACTATCCAAATCCGTCACCGATCCGCCACTTCGGTGACGAGCTCGTCATCAGTAGTGACTTTCAAACGTCACCAAGACAGTCTTAAGTTTAGCTCCACTTATTCATACAGTTAAATTGCTCTAAGTTCATTAATATTAACATGGTTACACGTAATACTCTTCCTTTCTTCAGTCTAGAATGTTGAAGAATTTCATTGATAAGGCTAAACGCACAAATTTTATCATAATTGGAAACTTTCTTCTAAGGATAACTGTACCAGTTACTGTGAAAAAGTACAAAATAAAAATAATTCCTGGCAACTTATATGCAAAAAAATTAATTTTATGAAAATAAATACATGGCTTACTTACTGGTTTAGGAAATCCTTTCATTATTTCTGGAAATATATACTTGTCCAAAACAGGGTATCTGCGTTTCCTATGATTTGCTCTACAAAACGAAATTTAATTTTTTAATTTGACAAATAAATCATTTAAATTTTAAGGAAATTGTTAGATATGAAAAAACATAAAAGACGCACGAAATGACCAGTGGAGTTAATTTTCACCTTCATTAATTTTCACCCTTTCACGAGGAGACGGAGAAAAAATGGTGTTACATATACTGAGCTGCCAACTAATATGCTTTTCAAAAAATGTTAGAGTAGTAGATAATTTAAAACTAGCATTCTTAGAATTTTTAGTAATCTTGTTGACATTTTCAGATCCTTACCATTAGAGTAGATCAACACGGCGTTTCATACATCAAAACATAATCTTAGTTACTTCAAGAAGAAATTTTCCCATAAAGCGTCAAAAGTTGACGATCCTGCATATGTGCTTTTGAATGATGTATATATATAAAGCTCGCAGTTTCTACACTTTTTGAAAAATATTTTGAAGTTTAAAAGAAAATTTAAAACTAAAGCATTCAGAATTTTTTATATTTTTTTCCAGTATTTTAAAAGCCACACAACAAGAGAACTGAAAAAAGTCGTGTTTCTTATGAGCTTTTGAATCATTTATCTGTAGTATTGCAAAAAATAACTTTAAATCAAATTTTCAAAACGAATAATCATACAAAAAAAAAACATAAATTTATCTACCACTAGAAGAAATTTCCCTTAAACGTCTAGAGAATTGGCAGCCCTACCATTAGTTTCCCATGGAAAAGGGCCGTAAGGCCTCAGACTTCCAGTTCCACTACAACGAACGAACGAACAGTAGCATGCCCATAACGGCTACAAAATTTCCATAGTTCAGAAAACAAATTTCCCTGTAATTGCAAAATGTTCTAAGATTCTAATAAATTAGAATTAAAATAATTTTGTCCACCACTGCGCACAAATTATAGAAAGATGGACAAATGGTCAGATTTTCAATTTTGCTGGGAGCTTTATATGAGTTCTATTTGTTTTAAAAATTTCTGCCTTTGCTTACCACCACTGGAAAAATAATTTGCTGAAATTTCAGACATTCGAGACCATAATGTAGTCAAAAGACAAAATTGCCAGAGCAATTTGTATGCCGGAAAATATATCAAATTGGTAGTAAAACCATATTATATTTCATTTGTCTTCGGTAGAAATCAAGAACTTTGTCTACCAGGGCATATACAAGAATACTTCGCATTTTGAAACAAATCTAACATCCTAGATAGTGAACGAATAATTAAGATGAACTATACAGATTGAATGCATTTCATCAGCATCTCGACACTGATGATGTTATCTCGACACTGATAAGTTATCTTTATCTAGATAACATCATCAGTGTCGAGATGCGACATCACGACGTATTGATTTGATAATGTTAGGGACTGTTGATGGTCATACCGAAACGATTTTCTACCTTGCAAAATTTTATTTGTGCTTTATACATTTCTTTACGTTTCATTAGTAGTTTAATGATGCATTAAATAATTAAAAGTAATTGTAAATTATTTAACCTTGCAATTATTTTTGGTGATCTTGTCTCTAAAATTTCCCTTATTTCGTCCACAGTCATAAAGAAGAGTAGATCTTCGTCTGGTATTCTACCTTCTGATACCATAAGCTTTGCTAGGTGATAGTAGCCTTTTCTCCATTCATCTTGAGTCTTGATAAGCAGAGACTATGTAAAAAAAATACATATATTTGCTTTAAAAATGAGTAAACTTCACAGACAAGTTTTCGTAACTAAAGTTTACGTCTTAAAACACTAAAAGCTATCAAATAATGTCATCTTGGAAATTGTATTATATCAAAAATAAATAACTAAAAATTAGGAAATTATTATTGAAAAAAATGGATTACGCCGCCCATGCTTACCCCGTTATTTCATTTTACTTTAGAACCGTCGTTGAACAGCCAACCCAATTTCGAGTTCACGACTCAACTCCGTAAAATTGTAATTTTGAACTCAATTTAGAAGACAAGGGAACTCATGGATTAGTAATTTGCCGTCTATATGGAATTTTTGGTGAAACTAACCCGTATTTGCGTTACATGGGGAGGAAAACCACGAAAACCTCCCACGGTTAGCCTGACGGCAAGAAGATTCTCCCATGATTCGTCTACCTCTGAGGATATTTTACGTCAGCACTGTAGTCAGTGTGAGCCGGGTGCGGAATTCGTATCGACCAGCGAACTCTGGGACTCGAACCCCGGTTCACCTCATTGGAAGGTGAACGTTTTATCCCCTGAGTCAAAACGGTTCCTTACCCCGATTTTTTTAAATTTCAACTTACGAATTTTAAAAAAAATAATTTTTTTAATCTTAATTTATAATTTTTTTATAAATTTTAATTCGTCTAACAGCAGACCCAATTTACTGGGGAAAGTATTTTTTAAATGTTTGAAAACATGTGAAAGTCCTAATTTTAATAACTGGTTAACTCCATTTACTTACATGTTCATCATTTCAATCTTCTTCTGTATACATTTTAAGGCAATTTAAGTTGTCTGTCAAACAAAAAACGCCATCACAATAGAAGCAAGATAGAAGAAACCCTTCACTCATTAGACTTAAAGATTTAAATTTCACACTATTCTGAAAATGCCTTAGTACGGTGATCAAAAGAAAAAAAGAAACCCCCTGAATAACTTTTGATCTAATGATCGAATTTACACCTGATTGGGTTAAGCCTTAATAGTTAAATTCCCATAACAAATCAATACCTCGGGGGCACTGGATCGGAAAATTAATCGTACTCTGATTCAAGTCAAAATTACGATTTGCGGATGGATGGATGGTGGCCAAATGTGCCCTCCCTGTATGTGACGTACGCATGCTGACTCTGGATCATCCTTAGGAATGATTCCAAGACCGTCGCCCACTGTGCAGTTCTAGTGTGACGTAAACAAAAAGTACCAAGTACTTAACAAATATGTTAAATAAAAAGGGTAGACGATATTTTAAGTTACGAAATTGTACTCAAAATAGTACTTTCTCTGAATAAGCATTCATTTTTCCTTACGGATTATGATTTCTGATTCCAAAAAACAGCCATAACCGCCATCTAGGAAATACAGTCCTAACAGTTTAATCAGGGCAACAAGTCAAACTTTGATTAACATTAATTTAATTTGTTTTGTATTTCGTCATGTCTTGTAAAATCTTGCAGAGAATTGAAAAATTTTATGCACACCATTGTAAAATTCGCTTATAATCCCCGCAATAAATAATTTTAATAACTATTTACTATACTTTATTATTTTATTTAATAATGATTGAAAAAATAGTACTGCAAGGTATGCCGAATTTTACATAATTTTAAGGAATTTAATTTTATATGACAAAGTGCAAAATTCGATCGAAATCGGTTGAATAGTTCCTGAGAAATCGAATTTTAAACATCGGGTATTAAAAATAAAAATTTTCTGGAATTATAAGACCGATTTCATTCAAAATTTGTATTTTTCTATACACAATTCTTTATGTAGAGAACAATTCTTTAAAATGATGTCAGTTCAAAATGATGATAAATTCTTTAAAATTATGTAAAAAGCTGTATATCTGACAATTAAAATTTTTTTGGGAATAATGAAATAAAATAATAAGTAATTATTAAAATTATTTATTGAGTAGAATTATCTTTAGATACTAATTTTATAATTGTGTGCAAAACTGATTTTGATTTATTTGAATTATTCTCGCTACGTAGCGAAACACTCGAAAAGTAAAATTAACATTAAGAGGTTCAAAACTTGAATCGCTGTCCTGACCAAACTATTGATGACATATTTTTCAGATTGCGGCTATCCATTATATTTTGAGAGTCAGAGATTCAAATCCACCAAAAAATTTATTCTTTTTCAGAGAAAATACGGTTTTATATCTCATTTTGCAATTAATTTAAAATATGGTGTAATAATTTAAATATTGATCTAAAGTTTTTCAGGGAATTTCATTTTTTTCTTCGCATTGTACTTCAATTAATCGCGGATAATTTAATATTACAATATAGTTGCCTGAAAATTCTACTTCTTCAAAACATCGCTCCCTCAAATTTAATCCAATTACAAATGCCGCTCTTTAAATCACAAAAGAAGGAAAACTATTAGGAAACTGCACTAGTTGGTAAAAGTGACTTACGAGCCGACGGATGTCATAGTTGGTTGGATTTTTTTTCAAGCCAAAATTCATGCATTTTGCATTTGCATGAAACATTTTAATTTGTTCATATAAAGCAGTGTTTCCCAAAGTGTGGTACGCGCAAAGAATATATAAGTGTGGCTTATATATTCTTTGGTACGCGTACCACCAGGGATACGGGAACAGTTTATCGGGGGTACGCGTTCTTATGCGAAATATCTTGCAACAAACGAATATTTCGAAAAATTTTATTTAAAAACAAAGCTAGCCATGAAAATTTACAATTACTTTTTTTTCTGTTGGCTATTTTTTGCAGAGTTAACAGTAAATAATGAGTGGTGTCAAAAGCCAGTTGTGATTTTTAACCTTTGTGCAATTTTTTATAGTAAAAACTACATTCCTTTTTTCATTAGTGGTATACAGCGTTACAAAAAATTTAGAAACGGTACGCAAAAGTCATAAGTTTGGGAAACACTGATATAACTGATATTAGCAAGGAAGTTGAGATAAAATAAGTTAGTTGAGATAAAATAATTATTTATTTTAGAGCTCGAAATGTTTATAATTTTAAGATTTTCATTCGTCAAAATATGCAAAAAAAAAATATTTTTAACATTTGTACGCTGCTGTTGCTGTAACTAAACAAATTCACAATTTTTACTTAGAATCAATTAATAGAGATGCCAAATTAAGGTGATTCCTTAAAAATCTTGCATGATTCTAATAATATGCCTTAAAATTATAATATGAGTTTTTCTAAATTTTAATTTATAACACAATTTTTTCAACAAAAAAAGGGTCAATTCAAATTCCTGAAAACTAACAAGTATTTACTTTTCTGAATAAAGCAATATTCGCAGGTCAATAAGAAATAACTTGAGCACTTGCAATTTAATATAATTGAGTCACGACAGCTCATGGCATACAGCGTTCACCTCATAATGAGGTGAACTCCAAGAAGTGGCAAATGCCGAAGGCAGATACCTAGGACAACACTTTTGCACAAAAGCATTAGAACAAAAAATGATACATTAAACTTTGTTTTTCATCTTTTACTGAAAACGTAAAAAATATTTACCTTTGACAATTCTCTAGTCTGAACTCCTTGTCGACTTCGAGATATCAAGTATTTCAGAGTTAGTCTAGAAATAAAGTGCAAAGTACTTTAAGCGCTTCTTTTGACACAAGTTACTTATAAAACTGAAAAGAAATTCAACTTAATCAAAAAGAAATTTAATTATTTGTGTTCTCAAAAATAGATTACCTTGTCTTGAGACCGACATTTATTCCTAAATCCTTCAATGTTTGGTTAAAATTCTCCTCTTTCTTATTTGTTACTTTTTTCGATGAGGATCCGGCGAGATTCTGTAAATAAAAAATGCATAAATAAACATTAGATTTTCAAACATTCTGATCTATATTTTAAGGTTTTGAAACTAACATTTATTTTAAGCTTTAACTTATGAGAAGGCTTTAACTTTTAAGCTTTAACTTATGAATGAAAGGGGCCTATTTATTAATTATTTATCATAATAAAGTTCTGATTTAAGCTCTTCTTTTCATAGAAGTATTGACGTAAGGTTGTTTGTTTACAGGTATATCAATACTACTACTTCCTTATAGTCTTGATATACCCCTTAAATAAAAACCCTTAGTTAAAATAGTTAAATCCTTATACTGGGCACTAACTATGATAAGCACCCTCGCAATCAACCTCTGACTGAGCGGATGGTCAAAATGAAATGCATATTCAACACACGTGCATAGTTGGTGGAATTGGCTGTATCTAATTAGGATCTTTTAAAAAAAGGTCATTCCGTTGAGTACAAGAAACTGTGGAAAACTGGCATTGAAGAATGTTGGATTCTTGATTATATCATTCCGCTTGGAACATGAAAGGAATTAGGGGAAACTATTCTGTTCAGTAAAAAAAACTTCATGGGAAACTAGCATCAAGAAACATTTGATTGAAATTTGATTACTTCTTTCCGTTGAGAACACGAGAAAAATTCTAGAAAACCATTTCGTTCTGAATAAGAAATAAATTCTAGAAAACTAACATTAAGAATCGTTGAAGGCTTGGTTATTTCATTCCATTTAAAACACACAAAAAATTACAGAAAACCATACTGTTCTGAACAAAAAGAAACTGCGGAAAACTAGCATTAAGAATCGTTGAATGTTTGATTATTCCATTCCATTCAGAACACTCGTTAATGGAAGAAAGGCATTAAGAATCATTAATTCTATTCAAAACAAGACTGAGTTCGTGAGAAACTTTTCTATTCAGTTCAAGAAAGAAATTATGGAAGAACAAAAAGTACTACACTCAAATAAGGAAGCTGGGCATCGAGTTAAAGTGTTTAAGAAGTATGTTTCGAAGTCATTCCAAATTTTGCTACCAGTTTTTATTTTTAATCAGCTGAAACTACTTAAGGTAACTGACTTAAATTTTTTTATCTTTAATGCTGATTCCGAGCTTATCATCAATCGGTTTTAATGTTAATTTCATTGCAACTTTTTTTTACAATTTGAGATGGATTTAAGAATGCTCAAAAGTAATTCACAAGGGACTATTTAAAGCTTACTGACTTAGAAACATTTCTTACCTTTAACAGCTGTATGAGAGTTGTAGGATCAGTTCCCCATGTTTTTTGCCGCAAATCAAACTGAAAAAAAGGTAAAGAATATTGAGATTAAATACTGAGAATATTTGAGATTACTTTTAAATATTAAAAATTTTTTAAAGGCTGTTTAAAGAAATGTTAATTGTGATACCCACCATCATGTTTACGACAGCATTTTGTATCTTTAAGTTTTATAAAGCGATACAATAGCTGCCAACATGTACGCTCTTCAAAGAAACTTTTACCTAGTGATAGCAAAATGAAATTTGAATTTACAATGCATTCAGACTTTTCATTTATATTCAGTCCACTCATCGAAACACGCAACGATAAGTAGTAGTATAAAATCAAATGGTATTAAATTAAATGTATTAAATCAAGAATCGATGCATGCAGTTTTTTACTCCTTGTTAAAGTTTCCACAGAAAGTATAAGCGATAAAAAATTTTAAAAAGGTTTTTTGCTTACCTTAGCAATTTTTGTATAGATTGAAAATAAACTTGCTTAGAAAAAAAATTGCATCAAAAAAAAATTGCTGGGAAACAAATTTGAAAAAAAAAATTCTATTTCATCTTTTGTTATTTTGTAAATACACGTGAATGCGTTACATAGGATGCATGTAATTACTTCATCAATATTGCATGGCTTGCTTAATCAAACATCATGTATTCTACTCAAAATATGGAACAGGAAATCAAAAAATCCGAATTAGCTGGTTTTAAAAGCATTTGAAATTGATGAAACATAGAAACTCATATATGAAAAAAAAATATTTTTTAACTTAATTGAGATCTTGTCTTCTTTAAAATGGATGTAAATATAAGTTCTCATTTTCTTTTCTTAGTTATAGAGAAAATTGTTGCAAAATATAACTCTTTGCACTCGAGGTTCTTTCAACTATTATATAACAGAGATATTTACTTCTTTTAGACATCTGTGTCCGTGTCTGGTAAGAAATTCACGGTACTTCTTTCCAGCGTCAGTTTGAGAATTTTGAAGCCATTCCACTATTTCCTGTTTGAAAAAAAAACATATTTATTTGAATATAAAATTTACCTGAAATTACAATTGTTGATTATTCAGTGAATAATCGTAATTACCTGATTACTCATTTTCTTCAATTCCTCTGGTGTCCTTTCTTTAGCTATTGCTAAGCCCAGGCGCTAAATATAATTCAAATATGTTAAGAAAGTTTTGAAGAGCTTATAATTCCGAACAAACCAACAATAAATTTGAATAATATTTTACCTGAATAAATATAAATAATAAAAAGAAAGAAGTACTAATGAATAATATATAAGAAAGAAAATACTTGCAACAAGTATACTATTAAATTTGACTCATAATTTGACATTATTATGTGGTGTAATAGTGATAAATTAATAATTTTATAATTATTAAGTGACTTGTGTAAAAATAGATTCCTATCTATTGCTTTCTTATATAGCTATTCCAACCTTATTCGATTTTTTATTTTAAAAAAATTTTGATAAGTGTTTGCAACGTTAATTCAATATTCTTCAGTGTCGTTCAAAAGGATAACCCTTAACAATTAACGGTGCAGTATAGCCAACAACAAGAGAAACTTTCCTACAAATAACAAGAGAAAAAGTATGTCACTTCACTTAAAATAACTAACTAAGGTCGTACTCGCTATCTCGTCTGACTAAAATTTTCTGTCGAAATTTGCTGTAACCGATAAGATTATGGAACAACGATGGGCTCTTGTTAAAATGAAAAAGACTAGTTACTCATTTATTTCATTCTTGAAATTTTTCTCAAGAAAACAAGCCATTCTTGTTAATTATAAATGATTAAGAACACAAATATGAATGTTTTGCGCTCTAAAATCATGGTCATCAATCATCATCTCAACACTGCAATACTTCAAATTTTAACCAATATTGAAAAAATGTGGTAAATTTGAAATTAAACAATTCAATAGCAATTTTTACTTATTTATTTGCATGCGTACCAAAATTGCACAAAGCCGCTTTCAACAACATTGCAATATATTAATATTGTGATTAATTTCTTACTTCGATGCTTGCGGGAACATCAGCACTTTCTACTTCAGTACTAGTTGTACAAAGTGTTGAAAAATCTCTGTATACTTCTGCACTCATTCCTACAAAAAGATGAATCATTGTGATTAGTGATTACAGAAAAGTAATGATTTGAGTCAGAAAATATATAAATGTAGTACCGAATGTTTCGAAATAAGTGACCTAAAGACATTATTTAACAATCCTAAATAAAATGAGACAAAAAAATACATGAGTTAGGAGTTGACATTTTTATCTAAGTTATAAGAAAAAAGATAAGTTACAGGCTCTAACCAATCACTTTTGGGCTCAATAATAGTATAATTGGAGTTAAAATCAACTCCACTATAGTTGCCAATTCTTTTGGGTTTTCCCAATGATTTTATTTTCATATTTAAAATAATAGTTTGTTTTTCTATTTCAAGCTTGGACTTACAATCTAAATCAATAGTGATTTTAACAATCATTTGAAATGGATAAATTAAAAAAATTCAAAATAAAACGTAATATTTTTAAAAACCACGTTTTAATAGTAGAGAATAATAATTCAGGAAAAAATTTAAAAGCGAAAAACGTGGGGCGCATGAGATACATAACAGTAATGTTATATTAGTGTGTGTAGGTGTGCTCTTGAGAATATGTGTATGTATATCAGTAATTGTAATTGTATCTGAATNATGGATAAATTAAAAATACATCTAAATCTGATTTGGCCATGGAAAAATATAAAAGTATACGAACTCTAGCTATTAAAGGCTGTTGCGAATTAATTTTTTTAAAGGTAGACAACTAAAGCAAAACGTTTTGAAACGATATATACAATTTTCAAATACACTGCTGGACAATTGCTAAGGACGGATAACACTATCATCCATAGCAACCACAAAATGAAAGGAAGCAAAATGTGGAAATTAGATTAACTGCGGGATATAGTAAGAAGAGGTATGCGTATGCAAATTTTTTTTTCCACGTCTGTTCATCACGTGATAGCGCTGATAAGAGCTTTAAAGGTTTCGACGCGTGTGGAGAATTGTTGTTTCAAGTCAAAGTTTTACAGGAAAGATTTAGTTGACGAACTTGAAATTTTCGACATGTCTTCCCGATATCACTTAGATGATTTTAAGAGTGGCCGTATTATTGGAAAGATCGAAGAAGGGCGAAAAATAACAGACGTTGCCAGGGAGACGTTGCCAGGGACAGGACTGGGCATGCGTATTTTTCTCAGATGAGAGTAGTTTCAGTCTGTCATCGGATTGTAGACGCCAACTGATCTGGCGCGAGAGTGGTACTGGTTATCGTCCGGAAAATATCCAGGAAAGGGACCGATATCCGACGTGCAGTGTCATGTTGTGGGTCGGCATCATGCTCAATGGCCGCACGAGCCTACATGTGGTTGCGAACGGGACTATGACATGCCAACGATACATTGATGAAGTTCTACTTCCTCATATTCGTCTTTTCCGTGGTGCTGTCGGTGATAAATTTGTTTTTATGGACGACAACGCAACGTGTCATCGAACACTCGCTGTTCAGGATTGTCTAGAAAGCGAGGGTATTCAACGCCTCGTATGGCCATCACGTTCTCCAGATCTAAACCCCATTGAAAATGTTTGGGATGCTTAGGGGAGGCAACTTGCTGGTCGAAACGGTCCATCCCAACCTGTTAGTGAGAGAACATTGCAACAGAAGCTGCATGCAATGAGCATTTGGAGTCGAACACCTCGTAAGACGCCATTCCTCACGCAGACACGTAAAGCAGCGTGATAGCACTGGGCTAGAAGTCACCGAATGTGGACAACTGCTGACTGGAGGAATGTAATATGGTCTGACGAATCACGTTTTTGACTTTATTCAAATGACGTACGTCATCGAGTGCACCGAAGAAAAGATGAAGCATTTCATCCTAACTGTGTGAAAGGTCAGGTTAAAGCCGGAGGTGGGTCTGTCATGTTTTGTGGGTGTTTTTCTTGTTATGGATTGGGCCCCCTCACTGAGGTGGCCACAATTAGGAACCAAAATGTTTATTTGAACATTCCGGATGATCAGGTGCTCCCTTTCAATCAACATCTTCATGAGGAATATACTGTTCTTCAAGACCACAACAGCAAAGTTCATCGGGCTGGAAGAATATGTGACTGGTTTTATGAGCACTCAGACGCTCACTACTTCGTGACTGACCTACAAAATCCCCTTGACCCCCATTGAAAATTTGTGAAACATGTTGGAACAACGGGTAAAACGCCGAAATCAACATCCTCGCTATTTTGTAGATTTGCGCATTCAAATCTTCAGCGAGTGGCTTAAACTGGATTTCAAAACATTGTGAACTCACTTCCTAACTGAATCTAGGCCGTTATAGAATAAAGAGGTGGTGTTACATGTTATTAAATGATGTTTGTCTTTACTTCTCTAAGGGTGACTAATTTTTTGCCCGGTGTTCTTATGAACAAGATGGCGTGCTAACGCTGCAGCTATTAAGCTTGGTTTGTTATCCTCTTGAATCCATTTTTGGATCGGATTTAATTAGGTACCTGAAAGCGACATCATGCGTAGTTGTCGAACCTGATTGGCTGCTGAATCTTGTCACAAACAAATGCCACGATTCACCATCTAATTAGATTCGACCACCACGAATGACGTCGCTTTCAGGCAACCACTTATGCTTTTCCTGCACTTACCTCCTCTGGCCTTTTTAAGAATGCTTATGACGAACATATTCCATATAGAGGATGATTCTGTATTTCTCATATGGCTCCGCATTGACTGAAAAATACAAATAATATTGCTTTTATGGTATGTGCAATTTAATGAAATGTGCAATGAAAAACCTTCTTTCAAACAAAAACATAACAGAATTCGCAAACGTCAAACAACTTACTTTCTTTTAAAATAGCACACAAAATAGGAATATATATTTACTGAATTTCGTTGCATGAAACTATTATCACGAAGTAGACATTGTTTTAAAAACTTAATTATTTTAAAATATTTGCTGAAGATTTATTTTAAATTTTTTTGGTATAACTGAATTATCAAGAAATTCAATATGAATGCACTTTTTCATTCTTTTACAATATTGTAATAAAGTCATTTATAAAAATAATGCATAAATAGTATCGATGAATTCAATATGCATACATTTTTGTAGCAAAATGCAGAATTTTTCCATATTGGTATTATAAAACTGATGAAAATTTAAAAGTGAAAACATCTTCAATCAGATTAAAAACATATAATGAAAATATATGACTTCGGATCAGTTATTTCCGAATTAATTTATTTTTTAAAAAGAAATTTTATATACTTGTACTCAAAAAAAAATTTTTTTGTCGTATCGCAATTCTGCAGTCAATAAAGTTAAAATTAAAGTAGAACTAAAATATGGACGCATGTGTGTATTACATAAATGTGTATGACAATATGAGCATTAAAAGGAAATATTATAATAACTTATTACTTGATTTCATGATTTTGTAAAGAGTACAAGCTATGAAGCTTAGTATATCTACTTTATATTTTCAAGATTTTAAATATTCAATGTAATAGATATATTACCAATTATTTGTACAAAGAACCTAGGTAATCTTCAAACTAACGAGAAAATCTGCAGAATGAAAATAATATCCTTTCAGGAAAAACAAGGTTTTCGTACGTTTAAATTAACCCAATGATATTCATTTAATTTTCGCTATCTGAAAAGAAATCATGCTGCTGCAATCAACACATTAGTAGATAGAATCAGTCATCTAAGTATCACTTTTAAAAATATTATAAGACTGATGAAAGGGTTTAAAATATCATAACAATTAAGAAAATTAATATTAAATTAAAACCAATGAAAATATCTTTTTAATTAAAACGACCGATTGTTGTAAAATCAAGCTCATTTCAAAATCCCATTAATGCATTTCTTTAAATTAACATTCCATGTACAGTACGCAAATAAAGGGACCACTCTGAATAACTTCTGATTTAATGATCGGATATAGGGCGTTAATAAAAGCAGACAATTTAAGTTACGAAATCGGAGACAAAAACCTATTTCCTTATATAAACAAAAAAAATTGAGCGAAATCGATCGAATCGTTCCTGAGGAACTGAATTTTAAAAAAAGTCACATTATTACACCACGACCTGTTCCGCTCAAATTTTGTATTTTACCATGCAAAATTATATTATTTAAAGTAAGGCAAAAAATTGCATACCTTTCAATTCATAATTCTTTGACGATAATTAAGTAATATAATAAATATTTAATAAGAGTCATTATTTTTTTTCATGGAATTATCTTTAGATGAACAAATTTTATAATTGTTTGCAAAAATTTCTTAATTCACTTCTATTCTCGAGATATGGCATTTGAGTAAAAAATAAAACAAACATGCTGTCCAAGCTTTGGACCACTCTTCTGACCAAACTAGTGGGGCCATATTTCACACATTGTGGCTATTTTAGGGGTCAGGAATCCAAATCTGTGGGGGAAAAATGCCGTCCACACTAACTAATTAGCATATTTAAAGATACCTTCGGGAACTATTGCAATTGAGTCCCGTAGGTGAAAATCTGAACATTACATCAAAAGTTATCCAAGGCAGTCTATTTTTTTACACACAGTACATGTTGTTACTTCGATGGTAGGTTTAAACAGAAAACAACATTCAACAACATTGAACAGCTTGCTAGCAGTTTTGTAACGCCATAACCATGATCACAAAACGTAAAAATACGCAGGATATCTAAAAAAAGTGAGCATAAGCAAGCGCTTTAAATCTTAAGTAAGGAATGTACAGGATGTAACATAAAAGTACAAAATCTCCCTCTAATGTAATTTATTTATTTTTCGGTATCTAAAGGTTCAAGTCAATGCAATTAAACAACCGCAAAATTAGTTGTGAGAAACAAAATTCTGAACTTTAACTATTCGGACACCATAAATGCTTACATTACCTAGGTTAATTGTTGAAAATGCTTGGTTACTCACGCTTTTTGACTGATCACCCAATTTAACCTTGAGATTAGCTATGCAATGTGCATATTAGCTGCTTAATGGTGGTACATGTAATAAATCTGTTAAATTTTCAAGTTTTTGTAGTTGTTTCTAATGTCACTTGCCACACGGACAGACCTGCTTGGTGAAAACGAGCAAATTTAAGGCAGAGTGTGCGTTTCTTGTTTTTCAGTGGCGCCATCTATGGCCAAGAATTCGACTTCTGCCACACCATACGTCGCAAACGTTTATAGGGCGGACAAATTCGTACATCCATTCATTCATCCACAGATTTTAATTTTGACCTGAATCAGAGAATGATCGATCTCATTTTCGTATATATTTCAAACGTAATTTATAGAGGAATGTAACAAAAAAAAGAGAAGGCGATAGTTAATCTTTGGTGTTAGAAAAAATCATTTATACCAGTAAGAATTGTGTGAGGAAGAAATTGTGATTGTTATAAAAATTGTGTCATAGAAATTAAATCATAAAAATATGAAAAAATGCAAATGCACTTCTTACCTGTACTAAATCCGTACAGGAGAAGAGGAGATGGTTAAAAATTTCAAGAGATGTTTGAAAGCGTTCAACAGGAAGCCTGTAATTTTTGTAAAACCTCAATGCTTTATCCAGTTCCCTCTTGCTTAGAAAGAGCTGCAATAATCAATGACAAAAACTTTAAAATTGAAAGAAATTATATTAATTTATGGATGTAAAATAGTCTCTGCTTAATAGAATCACTTTAGAGGAACGCAATGAATTTGATAATATAAACCGATTGATAACAATAAATGAATTTCGAAATCATATAAATGTATCAACTTAAGTCACACATACTTAGTTTGAAAATAAAAATCTCACTTCATATGTAATTTATAGATATACAGTAGTCTCTGCTTAATGTGATCCCTTTGGAGGGACACAATTAATTTCATAACATTAACCGATTGATAACAATCAATTAATCTCAAAATCATATAAATTTATCAGCTTAAGTCACACGTACTTAATTTGAAAATAAAATGCACTCTTACTATAGATTTGATTTAAAATATAAAAATTATACATAATTTTTTAAAAAAAACATCAATATTTGGTTGTCTACGTTTTTTCTAACAAGCTCAATTGTAAATTGTTCGTAGTCATAATATTTTTTAATTTCATGGGTGGTGTATTTTATTCCACATTTTAACACTTTCATTTTAATCCTCCTTTTGGATTTGTAGAAGGTAGCTCAACATCAATAAGATCACAATTTTTCAATATTTTGCAAATCTAGAGGCTGAAAGATTTTTAACTGTGTTGTACTTTTACTTGTGTGCTGAACTAATACCTCAAAATCTGAGGTACCAAATTTCATCCCACTTTCACCTTATTATTGGCAAAGTTTAAAATTCGGCGCAGCTGGGTAAAGTTTTAAATTTACATTTCACTTAATTCTTCGGCATTCTATAGAATACCAAAAGAGAAACCGGCAAAGTATGAAATACATCTCCGCTTCATTTCAAATATCACATGGCAAGGCCCGTAATTTCTCAGTTTTGAAATTTCATACTTTTTGCCTTACTTTATCTTTTTACATGAAAATTTTGTTTTCCGTAATCAGAAAGGCGTAACTTTTGTTTTGGAAAGCTTTCATTTTTCTTTACGTACCACAATGGGCCAGCATCCAAGGTTTCGTGGCCAAAATTAGTATTTCGATTAAATTTGTTTCAAAATTTGGGGGAGGGGGGTACTTAGGGGTTTTTATGTACAGGTAAATTCAATTCATAGTTGAAATTTTGAAATACACTAAAAATACCCAAAAAAACAAAATGGCGGCTGAAATATGGCCAGAAAAAATTAAAAAAATAATATAGTACGTTTAAATAATTAAATATAAGCAATAAAAATATTATATTTTTCGTAATTTTATATTGAAAATGAAAAGCAAATTATATTTCCGAAGTAATATTACAAAATAAAGCGAATTAATCACGAAATAACGCGAGAACAAGAAAAAAAAACATAATTTTTGTTTTTCGGTATATTTAGTCCACCTTTGCAATACGGGCAAAATGAGGCAGATTTTTCCGAAAGAAGAAGCATCAAAGAAGACAACAAAAAAAAGTTTAGCTAATTACCACGTGGAAATTTATGGAACTAAATTTCGAAAGTCATTCAAACATTGTAAATTGCAGATGATAAGATATAAACTATAAGTTTGCCAAGAGTATTAACTAATGCAGCAAATCGAAAAATTGTACTATAATATCAGACTAATTACTCTGATAAAAATTTAACAGTAAGGTAAATCACCTATATATATTTCTGAAATAAAAATTTAAAAGTTACATTTAAAAAGAAAAATTTAATATATTTTTCATTGCATTGTACGCTCGTCGGTCTAAAAAGTAATTTGTAATGTTTGGAATGACTATAAATACTTAATTTGAGCTATATTAAAACTGCCTACACATATTTTAGTTGAAAATTTAATTTTTGACATTTGGCCATAGATCATGGTCTTCTGGCCCACAGTGCGTACTTCGAATAATTTCTTAACTATACTCTCATTATTGTTTTGCTTTTTTTCAGAACGCCATTCACAGTTTTGAGATATGTCTGCCATTTATATATTAGTCATGTCAGGAGCTTTTTTCATACTTAGCCTAAATAGCATTTATCATTCTAGAGAATGTCAAAGTATTACATACAATGCTTAAAAAATGTGTAATACTTTAACTAAAAACGTCCGAAATTATATACAACGTGCAGACATTCTATAGAATGCTGGCATTTCACACTTTGCCGATTACATGCACTCTGCTAATAGGTGGATTCGCATCACAGTAAAATCAGGGCAATTACTTTTCTTACTGACGACTGTATCTTGAAGTGAATAAATAAATGCTGGAAAATCTTACCCTAGAAAAGGTGGCCAGTAATGTGTAGAGTCCAGCAAACATGGGTTTCTTCTTCTTCTTACCGAGGTCGAAACGTTCTATTGCTTTCTTAATTATGTCATCGTCTTCAATCTTGCGACCAAACAACGCAATCAGAATACCTTCATTCATTTCAGAATTTTCATCCATTCTTTCGAGAAGCTTAAAATAATTAATTATGCAGCCTATAGTCAAAATAATTAATTATGCAGTAAATTAGTATTATATTAAGTAACAGTATGGTATTTTTGAATTGGAGGAGGCTAAAATCTGCATCTTTACTTCATATTCTAAAAACGTAACTAAAGATGAAACACGTTTATAAATGCCCTTTCTATTATAATGCTCCCTATGCCCAAAATAAGTTGCTACGTTTGAATAACTTTTTACTGGTTATTGATAACAGGAATGCCAACTGCTCCACTTTTTGTGAAAATTTTAATGAATTAGTTGCGAGTTATTTAGTAAAACTTGTAAAACAAGCGATAAATTAGTTTTTTTTTTCTAGTCTCTTCTCAGTAACTGCAATCGACTTAAACAAAGGGTACGGAATTCCTAGCCCAAAAGACTATCTGCTTCTTCATTTAATTTGAAATTAATAAAACGTGGGAATATGGCTTACATAGCGTAAATTTGATACATAATAATAATAAATAAGGTGAGATACTGAAAAAACACTATAATGTTATGTGCAAAACATTAACCCTTTCGCGCCGACTGTCACAAATATGTGACAGCATAAAACCGCATCAATCAGGGTAAAAAGATAAAACTGGTAATCAAAGTAGTTCTTTAGCAGTTCATTTGTGGGCGGAGTTATAATTCTTTGATTTATTTAATTCACCATTACTTTGTTCAAAATAAAACTATTTAGTTATACTTTGAACTAACATTGATTATATATATGATTAAACTAACAATAATTAAAGTCAAAGCAAAGTAAGTCTGTCAAATTAGCAAAGACTGCATTTAAGTTACCGTTTTTTATTTAATTGCAACTTGATTCTGATTTTGTACGAATGCTTTTCTGAATCACCCGTCCCTAAGGGGTTAAACTGGGATAAGGGAAAAGACTAATTACAATATTTACATAATTGACCGATAGTAGATGAAAATCAACAAGCATCTCGAATCCCTGCATCACACCCTCGCCTGCCCCTTCCCCGAAGTACTTCTACGGTGCAGAGTGATACAGTTCATCTTGATATGCTGAGTAAATTAATTTGAGTAGCAGCAACAAAGTTGCATTCAATATAAGGCTTTGAATTTTGATGTGCAGTGGTGGAAAAATTATTAAAAATAAAATTAATCCAAAAAATAACTTAAACTTCGCTACCACAAGAAAATATATTTTACAAAGCGGAGTAAATTTGCATCTCTCAGTGTTACTGTTGATTTTGTTAGAAAATTTTTTTTAAGATTTCGGTGTGCTATGCTATCAATCAACAACTTTTACTTATCAAGCATTCCCTCCTTAAATCAGTACTAAATTAGTTTATAAAAATCTAAGGTTAGTACGCTTTTAAACCGCGTCCCATTTTCTATAGACTCTTCCACTAGCAATTGCATTAAAACTCTCTTCTTGCTCATAAATTGTGAGTTCTTTATTTGTACAATTTCACTGGAGTCAATCTATGAAACACCATCGGAAGAAATTTATGATTCCATCTGCTTGAAATGTAGCAACTAATTTGGGTCAAATTTTCGAACTAAATGTGGCAACTAGTTTGGGAGGGAGGTAGTTATTGGTTTTATTATAAAAATTTTAAAGAAAATCTTAGCTAAAAATGTTGTGAAACTGTGTGAAATGTTGTAAATATTTAATAAGTTCTTCTGGATAATTTAAAACTTCCTATAATGGTAATCATTTAAAGGTACATTTTATTTTATTTCTAAATCGATAGACAAAACAAGAACACTAATCGCAATATTTTTTTTCTACTTAATACTTAGAACCAATAACTGTAAAAGTTAAATTTAGAGTCTCACAATATTATTATAATTTTGAAGTTACATTGATTCAATGGAAAGGAAATTTTGCTCACTCTTTTAAAAATAGGGCAATTATTGCTTTCAGTGCATGTATTATTGCATAAATTTATAAATTGAATAACCTCTTGCCAAATATTGCATTAGTCCACCGATATTAACAGGGCATGATTTTAAAAATAATCCTACTTATCATAATATATTTAATCCATTAATGACAAGCTACAAAAAAAAATTCCAGTGCCCACCTGTGTTACCATCCGTCAATTCAGGCATATACGGGGCGATTTTGTTAGCCTCTCTTTCAGGGGCACCATATTAGGTGGGCCAACGTCGCTCCCACAGTGACGACAGATAGTACAAAGAAGGAAAGAACATCCATGCCTTGTCTGGAGTTCGAACCCAGAACCATACTGATGCAAGGACAGTTCCCTGCCCCCTACACAGGCCGGTCGGCAGCTGCACTAAATGGTAGTATATATTTGTTTAAACAAACTTGATATTCCCTTTTCTCGCTTACCATTTTAACTTTTTAAATGCAATATGGCAGGCACTGAACTTTATTCGTTTCGCCTTAGAAGATGCCAGAGTTGTTACTCATTTCGCTTTATCCAGTGGGCACCTGTGAACCAAGTCACGGAGGCGAGTAACATTGCCCACGCCACACTGCCACAAACCCGTTTATAGGGTGGGCCACATTCATACATCACACACAACGAAGGACAACACAAGAGAGAGAGAGAAACATTATATATATATATGCAATATGGCAGGCACTGAACTTTATTCGTATATATATATATA